TTCAGTTCTATATAGCAGTTGTCCAAAGTTTGCTTAGCGTTTTCGGGGACAATGTAGTTCAGCAGTTTGTCCCCTGCTGAATCCCAATCATTTGAAAAGATAGTCAAGATGGCATTCATAATCATCAATGAACCCCTCTCTTTGGTTTCCTTTATTTCTCTGCTCCAACTCAAGCAAAAGGCTCTATCATTAATGAGGCCTCTCACCCTGCAGCCTTCCTTTTTTGGAGCATGCCTAATGGGAAGAGGCTACAACAAATTAGTTTTAAAACTGAGATGCTCAGAAAAAATACATACTTAGAGGCAATTAGATTGTTAAACAGCAATTCTCAGTCACTTATATACTGTAGGCACAGGGTTTTAGCTGGATGGGTTGTTTTTGTCTGAGTGTTCATATGTATGTTTTCTGACCACCGCCATGGATGGTTTTATGGTTCTTTTAATGTATTATTGTTATTTATTTGTGATGACTAATTGATTGGGGAGTGCACCAAAACAAATTCCATTAACACTGGTTGTTGTATAGTAATAAAGTTATCTCATCTTACTGTGTCTTCATGGGCTTCCTGAGTACAACTACAGCTTTTCATTCTGGAATGTTGCCAGAGTGTTGTCATTAGCCAGACTTTGAATGACAGCAGATGGAGATGATGTGGAGAGGGAACTCCCTTCACCAGTCGTAGCTTACAACTTCATTTGGAAGAGCACACAAAATCCAGAATTTGGTTTGAAACTTTTCTCACAAGCAGTAAATGAGAACCATTTATTCTAGGTCTTTGACATTCAAGCTATAAAGTAGGGACAAACATGGTCTGTTGTCCCAAAAGTCACTTCTGATGATCACTGTAGGCACAAATGATTTCTGTGAGAAATGACATCACTGCAGGCGTGGCCAGTACTGTGACATGTCTGCTTCACTTCCTGGAACTTGGACTGGAACTGAGACACCTGGGGAAATCAGACCTAAGTAAAGGAAGGACAAAAACATCATTGGAGTGTTTGCTGAATGAATGCAAAGCAAATTTTACAGGCACAAATACAGCTAATGCAAACACTCAAGCAAGTGTATTTACATATTGAAGCAAGTCACCACAGTGCATTTAAACTAAAGAAACTGCAGATGTCATGGAAAAAAGCTAAGAGAAAGCCTTTACAGGACAGGTTCTTGAGGATGTAAAATGGACTGTGCCAAGAATCAAAGAAAAATTGTTGATCCAAGCTGATTTTTAAATCTAACTTTGTCAAAATAGATGTTTCCATATTTTAGTTTAAGCCTTACAAGCTCTGCTGGACATTCCATCTTTCCAAACTAACATGCCACAGTTCATTCTTGTCCAAGCACACACAACTTTATTTTTGAGCACTAGTGGAGATTTCAGTGTTTCCCAGTGGAACATGATACATGGTGATTTTTGGGGACAAAAGCATAAAGATGCACATTTACCATATTTCCATTGATGGAATGGTCTACAACATGGCATAAAACACCTCTTATTTGAAAATTGAACTTTTTTTGTTGTGCAGTTCAAGTGGGTCTTGAGTCTTAAGTCTTGATTTTGTTTGTAAACTGGATCTGATGATCCAGTCAATGAAAAAAGAAAACAAAAACTTTCTTATATTAAAAACTGAACTACTGAAAGGGTCATTTCAGAATTTAACACCTGTTTAGGATTTAGGACCGACCAATAATCTGCCTCTTCACAACACAGACGGTCCTATCAGGCATCATAGCTATCAAGCTACAGGTCCACATACGTAACTGGTACACGAGTACAGCTCAAAAGGGCATTGGGAAGAGCACCAGAGGCTCAAAACACCAGTTGCTGACAGTCACCACTGACTCAAGATCCAGATAGACCAACCTGGGTACAGCCTGGATCAACTACAGGAAAGTCTACCACTCAGTGCCACACACAGATCTGGGAATGCCTGGCACAATTCAAAGTCCACAGGACACAAGAACCTTCATCAAGAACTCAATGGGACTGTGAAGAACAACCCTGGAAGTTAACTTCGGACCAGTTGTACAAATGAAAATTAAGTGTGGCATATACCAGGGCGGTGCACTATCCCTGCTGCTGTTCTGCATAGGCCCAAACCTCTTCAGTCAGATCATCACAAGGAGTGGGTACGGAAGGGAACTACTATCAGCCACCTCTTCTACATGGATGACACCAATCTGTATGCCAAGAATGAACGGGACATTGACTCACTGGCATGGATCTTTAGTGAGGACATCAGGATGTCATGCAGACTGGAGAAATGTGGCTGGATGATAGTAAGAAGAGGGAAGGTGGTGAAGACTGACGAGTTAGAACTACCAGGGGGCCACATAACAGACATACAGACTGCCTACAAGTACCCTGGCATCCCACAGTCACATGGGAACCACAATGAGGAGGCAAGAAAGACAGCAATGTTCAAGTACCATCAAAGCACAAGACTGATCCTGAAAAGATGGCCTGCTGTTACCCTACTGGCATAGTGAGTGGCCAAAGGAGGACATGGAAGCTGCCGATGTGAAGACCTGGAAACTCCTCACAATGCATGGAGGCTTCCATTCAAAGTCCAGCACCCAGAGACTGTAAACCAGCTGGAAAGAGAGTGCAAAGGGCCTGGTGAGTGTCAAGGACACTGTCCTGGATGAAACCCAGAGCATCCAGGAATACATCAGCGAGATGGCACCCACAGATGAGCTGCTCAGAGAATGTCTGAGACAGCAACAGACAGAGACTGAAGACCAACCAGAGGAAGTGCCATGGCATGATAAAGCCCTGCATTCAATGTACCACCAACAGAAACATGAGGTAACAGACACTGGGAAATCCTACCAGTGGCTAGAAAATCTGGCCTATTGGACAGTACTGAGGTACTGAGTACTAACCAAGTGGTTAGCATTGTTTATAAACCTCTATGCCAGGTTTGGGCTAGATCCCCTCAAGTCCAGATGGGAGATTCAGCAGACTGTCATGGAGAACAACAGGGCTAAGATGCTGTGGAACTTCCAGATCCAGATGGACAGGAAGGTACCGGCCAAACTACCAGACCTCGTAGAGTAGACAAGAAACAGAAAGACGGAGTGGTGACAGTCATAGCGGTTCCAAGTGACAGAAACATGAAGAAGAAGGAATATGAGGAGCTGGAGAAGTTCCAGGTGTCAGGTCCGCTCGGCATGACCTGCCTCTCTTCCTCTTTCTCTCTCCCATTCTCTCATCCTGCAGGCTCGGTGACACAGCTGAGGTGCATCACCTCAATCAGCAGCTCACTGGGTCTGGTGTACAGCAGAGGCTCATTCCCACTGATTAAGCAGAGCCTATTTAACACGCTGGCAGAGGCTCCATCCTCGCCAGATCATTGACACTGACACGGTGAGATTGATGCTACTCTGCTTCCCAGACTGCGTTTGCTACTCTGCTTCCCCGATGGTGTTCGCTAATTCTCCTGGTTACTGCTGCTCGCCTGTCTATTCACTTGTCATCCTGGGTCCTGCTGCTTGCCTGTCTACTCACCTGTCATCCTGGTCCTCTGATCCTCCTGGTTCCTGCCGCTTGCCTTCCTGCTTACCTGTTGTCCTGGTCTTCTCAGTCTCCCTTACTCTACCCTGATTTGGACCTCGTTAACCCATTGACTTTGTCCTTTTCACTGCAAAATATAGCAATAAAGACACACTCTCACTAGCACTTGAGTTTGCACCCTGAGTCCTCATTCTCTCTCCCTCTCTCTCACCCCCTGATGAGGGACACCCAACCGTAACCACAGGGCCTGAAAGAGGAACTGGAGAAGATGTAGAAGGTGAAGGCCAAAGTGGTCCCAGTGGTGGTAGGGGCACTTGGAGCTGTGACAGATCCCAGGAACAACATCAGACCTCTCTGTCCAGAAGACTGCAGAACCCTCAAACTCCCAGAGAACTCAAGGTTGAGGAAGACACACACACCGCCCCGTAGGAGTGAGAAGGGAATTTTTATATGTGTGTGTATATGTATATTCAGTCAGCTAATCCACCAGAAAATGGTTGCAATAACAAAGTATTTCCAGTACACAGTACAAACTAAAACAGTCATGAACTTACACTTTTCAGACTGTAGGAACAGTTCGAACACTGGTCTAAATGGACCTACTGTATCTTTTACTCTACTACTCAGAGCACAATCTCTTGATTATTCAACACATGAGGAGTCTTTCAGTGTTCTTATCCAAAAGGCAGTTAGGGTTAGAGAAGCAGAAATAAAAATGAAAACTCATTCCTTTCCTTTTATGACCCAATTTCTTTTGTAGTTGTGGTAGTTAATGACACAAAAATACCAATTAATGTAATTTAACTACTTCAGTCACTACACATCTATGAATGTAGTTGGACTAACAGCAAGTTACTGCAAAATATAGTTACAGTGCCTTGCGAAAGTATTCGGCCCCCTTGAACTTTGCGACCTTTTGCCACATTTCAGGCTTCAAACATAAAGATATAAAACTGTAATTTTTTGTGAAGAATCAACAACAAGTGGGACACAATCATGAAGTGGAACGAAATTTATTGGATATTTCAAACTTTTTTAACAAATAAAAAACTGAATAATTGGGCGTGCAAAATTATTCAGCCCCTTTACTTTCAGTGCAGCAAACTCTCTCCAGAAGTTCAGTGAGGATCTCTGAATGATCCAATGTTGACCTAAATGACTAATGATGATAAATAGAATCCACCTGTGTGTAATCAAGTCTCCGTATAAATGCACCTGCACTGTGATAGTCTCAGAGGTCTGTTTAAAGCGCAGAGAGCATCATGAAGAACAAGGAACACACCAGGCAGGTCCGAGATACTGTTGTGGAGAAGTTTAAAGCCGGATTTGGATACAAAAAGATTTCCCAAGCTTTAAACATCCCAAGGAGCACTGTGCAAGTGATAATATTGAAATGGAAGGAGTATCAGACCACTGCAAATCTACCAAGACCTGGCCGTCCCTCTAAACTTTCAGCTCATACAAGGAGAAGACTGATCAGAGATGCAGCCAAGAGGCCCATGATCACTCTGGATGAACTGCAGAGATCTACAGCTGAGGTGGGAGACTCTGTCCATAGGACAACAATCAGTCGTATACTGCACAAATCTGGCCTTTATGGAAGAGTGGCAAGAAGAAAGCCATTTCTTAAAGATATCCATAAAAAGTGTCGTTTAAAGTTTGCCACAAGCCACCTGGGAGACACACCAAACATGTGGAAGAAGGTGCTCTGGTCAGATGAAACCAAAATCGAACTTTTTGGCAACAATGCAAAACGTTATGTTTGGCGTAAAAGCAACACAGCTCATCACCCTGAACACACCATCCCCATTGTCAAACATGGTGGTGGCAGCATCGTGGTTTGGGCCTGCTTTTCTTCAGCAGGGGCAGGGAAGATGGTTAAAATTGATGGGAAGATGGATGGAGCCAAATACAGGACCATTCTGGAAGGAAACCTGATGGAGTCTGCAAAAGACCTGAGACTGGGACGGAGATTTGTCTTCCAACAAGACAATGATCCAAAACATAAAGCAAAATCTACAATGGAATGGTTCACAAATAAACATATCCAGGTGTTAGAATGGCCAAGTCAAAGTCCAGACCTGAATCCAATCGAGAATCTGTGGAAAGAACTGAAAACTGCTGTTCACAAATGCTCTCCATCCAACCTCACTGAGCTTGAGCTGTTTTGCAAGGAGGAATGGGCAAAAATTTCCGTCTCTCGATGTGCAAAACTGATAGAGACATACCCCAAGCGACTTACAGCTGTAATCGGAGCAAAAGGTGGCGCTACAAAGTATTAACTTAAGGGGGCTGAATAATTTTGCACGGCCAATTTTTCAGTTTTTTATTTGTTAAAAAAGTTTGACATATCCAATAAATTTCGTTCCACTTCATGATTGTGTCCCACTTGTTGTTGATTCTTCACAAAAAATTACAGTTTTATATCTTTATGTTTGAAGCCTGAAATGTGGCAAAAGGTCGCAAAGTTCAAGGGGGCCGAATACTTTCGCAAGGCACTGTAAACTACTAGTTTAACTACATTAATGTTCTCTGTCTAGTCTGTTCTCTGTACTTCCATCTCTGTCTGTTTTGGCTCAGCAACCAAACAGGACAGGAACAGACTCCAGTGAACAGTCAGGACTGGAGAAAGAACCATCAATGCCACCTGCCCTCCATGGAGGACCTGCACACCTCACGGGTCAAAAGGAGGGCAGAGAGGATCACTTCAGACCCCTTACACTCTGGACACAATCTATTTGAAGTCCTCCCCTCTGGACGGCGTTACAGGTCACTGTATGCTAAAACAACCAGGCACAAGGACAGTTTCTTCCCCCAGGCCGTCGCTCTGATTAACACTTAACCCATTACTGTTTAATGGAATGACAACTCTCAGTGCAAAACCCTATATATTTTTGTATATATCTATCTGAAAAACTGCATCTAAACTGTGTGTGTGTGTAATAAGTACTTTATTTTTATTTTTTATTTTCCTAATGCACATTCTTTTTTCTTGTTTGTACATTCTTTTTCTTATCTTATTTACTCGTTGCCTTACAGAAGAACATTTTACAAGCATATTGAGAGCCACTGTACCAGAGTCAAATTCCTTGTGTGTCCAGCACACCTGGCCAGTAAAGCTGATTTTCATTATGATTCTGATTTAGCAATCCCAAACACTGCATTCAGATTAGGGATAGCATCTCAATGAGGAAACAGATTTTAACACAAGAGGTGTGAGATTAGCTATGGTTTCACTTGAGACCAGAGTGGTGTTGTGAGACTCATGAAGTGCTGTAACATGTGAGCATGTCTTTTTGCCATTACAGGCAGAGGGGAGGGGAGAGTATGCCAAGTATCAAACATAGCCATTTAGTAATTCCTACCTGTTGATGATGCTGCAGAGGACGTCATTGACTGGCTGTTGATGTGTGGAGTATATGTTTCATAATTTCTTCCATTTACAGTGGAGCTGCTGGGCAGCATGCAGGAATACGAGGTCTGATTGGATGCCTGAAAACATAAATTAACATTAAAACAGCAGGGTTTAACACCCTGATGAGCCATTCACCAGTGGGAAGGTGTCACATAAGATGCATTGTTTTTACAGTTTTGTATTATGTTTTTTTGACGTCACAATCAATTGACAGCAAAAATTATGAGCTGATGTAGGCATTCAAAGTGGCATTCTTTGCCACAATAACTGATCACTTTATTGCAACTGTTCATCATTTGTTCCTTTGGTCATTCATTCAGCATTTGTTCCACAACATGGCCTGTGGTACAGTGTAACTTATTTTAACACATCTTATTTTGGTTTAAAATTTAACTGAATGAGATTAAAGCACCAACCTTAAGCAGATTGTATTCACATCCACAACAGATGAACAGGCTATAATCCCTGAGCCTGTTACTGTAGACATAAAGACAGTATTAAGCCTTTGATGATGAAATATATATTGGTTGGTCTTGCTGGTTGCTGGCTGGTTCACCTGTCGCAGCACTCAGGCTAGTGGAGGTATGTGTATTAAATGTTTAGTAAAACTGATTCACATTGATGTTCCCATGAAGTGATTCAAACCAATAAAACCTTTTCTGTCACTGCAGTGACAGGGCCAGAGTACAGAGAGCTTGAGAAGCACCACAGGTCAGAGCTTCTGTGTTGGGGATTCAGCACTTGAATGCTACCTCTAATTCTACATCTTATTTAAGGGTTATTTAAGTATAACAAGTGGCATAAAGTAAATACTAATGGGAAGAAAAAAGAAACTGTAACATGTGAGCATGTCTTTTTGCCATTACAGGCAGAGGGGAGGGGAGAGTATGCCAAGTATCAAACATAGCCATTTAGTAATTCCTACCTGTTGATGATGCTGCAGAGGACGTCATTGACTGGCTGTTGATGTGTGGAGTATATGTTTCATAATTTCTTCCATTTACAGTGGAGCTGCTGGGCAGCATGCAGGAATACGAGGTCTGATTGGATGCCTGAAAACATAAATTAACATTAAAACAGCAGGGTTTAACACCCTGATGAGCCATTCACCAGTGGGAAGGTGTCACATAAGATGCATTGTTTTTACAGTTTTGTATTATGTTTTTTTGACGTCACAATCAATTGACAGCAAAAATTATGAGCTGATGTAGGCATTCAAAGTGGCATTCTTTGCCACAATAACTGATCACTTTATTGCAACTGTTCATCATTTGTTCCTTTGGTCATTCATTCAGCATTTGTTCCACAACATGGCCTGTGGTACAGTGTAACTTATTTTAACACATCTTATTTTGGTTTAAAATTTAACTGAATGAGATTAAAGCACCAACCTTAAGCAGATTGTATTCACATCCACAACAGATGAACAGGCTATAATCCCTGAGCCTGTTACTGTAGACATAAAGACAGTATTAAGCCTTTGATGATGAAATATATATTGGTTGGTCTTGCTGGTTGCTGGCTGGTTCACCTGTCGCAGCACTCAGGCTAGTGGAGGTATGTGTATTAAATGTTTAGTAAAACTGATTCACATTGATGTTCCCATGAAGTGATTCAAACCAATAAAACCTTTTCTGTCACTGCAGTGACAGGGCCAGAGTACAGAGAGCTTGAGAAGCACCACAGGTCAGAGCTTCTGTGTTGGGGATTCAGCACTTGAATGCTACCTCTAATTCTACATCTTATTTAAGGGTTATTTAAGTATAACAAGTGGCATAAAGTAAATACTAATGGGAAGAAAAAAGAAATTCAAGGAATTTTCAGTTATGAGTGTAATGAAAAAAAAAGTTGTGTTCTATGTGCAGCTCTTTTTGATGAGTAAGAACTATTCAGCTTGAAACTTTGTGGCTTATAGCCATAGTAATTATACATTCATAATGATTCATCTCCCCCTACTGTTTTGAAATACTGTGATCAAAAGCAGTACAGCTTCAAATCATGTTTTGATTTTCTTCTGTAAGTCAAAATTACCCACTTAGATACACAAGTGATTTAAGTTTGGGGAACTGGTGAGAACTGTATAGCCAATACACAGTATACAGGTGACTTACTTTATGGCTCAAACACACTAAATAATGCTGGATACCAGTGTCTGTCTGTAGGTTTGTTGCTCAGTTCACCACTTTGTTCCAGACTGCACCATGTCATCAAATATTGGATGGGTTGCCATGACATGTTGTACAGATATTTATAACCCAAAATCAGAAAAAAAGCAATTATGTTACTTTTTGTGCCCTCAGATTTACTCTATGCAACGATTGGGGGGTCTACTGAAACACATTATAGCATTTCTGATTTGATAAACTGTGAGGCAGTACAATCCAGTCAAGAAATACCGTTGTTACTGTAACAGAATCTTGGTCTATGCTAAATGTAATCAAATAAAAGACAATAGAGACCCATAGTGTAATGCCTCCTCAGAGTGCCCTGAATGTCACTTCTCTTGTTGGAATCCAAATGTCAGTGTTCTAGTACTGTGCAAGAGTTGATCTAGAAATTGTTGATGAAAGATTATTGCTATGCTGAGCTTCACAACTGTGAAGACAACTGTGTGAGGTGTTTAGCAAAAGTGAACTCAGGTTAACAAAAGGCTGACTAATCATAAATGTAGACATTACACACGGCCTTGCATTAGTTTGTACCCATTAAGAGGCAGAACAGCGTTAGCATACAGCTGTTTGGTACCTAACTTCAACTGGGGGAATGACAAATGTTATCTTTTAAATAAAAGAACAATTAATTATTGCAATGTATCTATTTAGGCTAACTGAACTATGGTCTGGAGATGCCTGGTGGACAAGGAGCCTTAACAGTTCTCCCTCTCCCTGTGTCCTCCTCCCACTCCCTTTGTGATTTTCTCCTGATGCCTGACGTTTAAATGTCAGAAACTGCTCCATGACTTTTTGAGAGAGGTCAGTGACAGACAGTGCAATACTCCTTGTACACGTTGTCATTCATGCATTTTAGTCATATATATTCATTTTCCCATTCTCTTCTTTATTTTTGCAACTTTTTCCTTGTTTTTTTGCCAGCGGACTAGGCTGGTAGATTGCTATTTTAAAAATCTTGCACCACCTGTGGGTGGCACAGTGGCATGATGGTTACCAGTGTCACCTCACAGCAAGAAGATTCCAGGTTCAAACCTGCCTGCGTGGGTTCTCTCCGGGTACTCTGGCTTCCTCCCACAGTCCAAAGACATGCAGCTTAGGTTGACTGGTGACTCTAAATGTGGTTGTTTGTCTACATGTCAGCCCTGTGATAGACTGGAGACCTGTCCAGGGTGGACTCTGCCTCTTGTCCAGTGTCAGCTAGGATTTTTTGCTGATAAAATCTATAGACAGCTTTATGTCTGCCACATTATCAAAGTTAGCATAAATACAGTATTATGACACATTTAAAGTGAGTGTTCACAAAGAAGTTATCTTCTTTACTGTAGCATACTTATCATGGTGTTTACTATTTCAGTAATGTACAGTGCTTTACTAACCATGTTTAATAGACATTGATTAGATATATGAAACCCAGTGTAACAGATTATAATTATTTATCTGGCACAACACCTCTATGATAATGAATACGGTCATACAATTTAGAAGCCTGGAATGCTGTTTATGCATCCACAAAGAGTATACCAGGCTTTCCGATACCTGGTGGTAAAAAGGAGAACTGCAGGTTGGATTTTATGAATGTGACGCAGGATTAAAAACACTACATTACTGATGCAATACCACCATCAGGGCAGCACAGACAACATGGTGAAAAAGTATGTCACTTGGAATGCCTACATCTGTATTAGGGTGAAAAGGCAAATTCATTCAAGCCAGACTGCTTAAGATAGAAGAGTTGCAACAGTGATGGTTCAAAACAGTAGCAGGTCATGGGACATGCAGCTCTAAATAGCCTAGTTCCAAGCAGGTGATTCAGATCGGTTGTCTGTTAAAAGGAACTGCAGGAATTACTAGCAAATCACTATTTTTAATGACATGAACAGTCTTACAAACTTATTTTGTTT